ACACAGAGAAGAAGAGAGAACCAAGTGCTTCTCCAGATTACAAGACACATTTTAGGCAAAAAGGCCCAAGTTAGGTCCACTATTTTTATGCCTCTGGACTGACATGACTTTGGAAATAATGGGTGACAGTAATATGAAATGTAGCGTGAAAAAGAAGACCCTAAATCACATATGCTTGCCCAGCTGGGCGCTCCATAACCTGTGAGACAGTGAAGGGAACCATGGAAAGCATCTTGTATGGTGCATCTGTTGAGCGTCTCCCTAATGCCTGAGTCATTTGGTCATGTCTTTGGTGTTAAATCAGTAAGAGCAGTGATGTATTGAACCTGCCAGTGTTTTCTTGTTAAGTTAACCATCTGGAACCATTTTCAGTATGTAAAAAAGAAAAGGGGGGGGGGGGGGGGGGTGATCGTTCTGTAAGGTGTTCTCAGTGCCATCACAACTTAATCCAATATCCACTTCTTCTTCTGTTTACTCCAAGTAAAGTGCTTCTGTGAGCAGAAGATAAACCACTTCCATTGTTCCAAAAAAGAAATTTAGCAAGTATAAAAGCTTTCATGAACCAGGTCCAAATGTTGAGAGACAATGACATTTACAAAGTAAAACCAGATTTATTTGAACAGTTCAGGTCATTATTTTAGTGTTGTTACTATTTGAAAAGTTTATAGCTCTTTAAATTGTACTTTAACTGCTGTTAAAGTTCATGGATTGTATAAAAGGGCAAAAAAAGTTTCTTTCTTTCAGCTGTATGCTCTGTATCACATTCCTGAAATAGACAAAATGCTGTAATCAGTAATTAGCTGTGGAACTGACAAATGAATTTCTCCACACAAGGTTTTGATTCACAGACTAAAGGTAAAAACACAAACATGTCAAAGGGAATCACACGAGTCTGCCATTAATCAGACCTCGTCTATACATCCGTGTATCCACACATTCTCATCCACTGGTCCCACTTTAGGCTCTCACTATATAATGAATCTGATTACTGCTTACAGGTCTGGCCATTTATAACCGGGCCAGGCTGATACACATAAATGGCCCTTAAGGAATAGGAAACATGGCTACCAGATTATCAGTAGCTAAGGGCTTCCTGAGCTTTCCCCTGCCCAGGATTTGAACCCATGGTTGCTCTGTGATGGCCAAGTCCAGAGAAGTAACCACAATTGCTCTGCTCACACGCTGAGGTCTGGCCTCTCCCTTCAACCACCATACTGTGGTCCACTGGCCAGGGAGGCAGTTACAGCAGAAGGACTAAAAATAAATACCATACAATTTACAATTTAAAACTGCTATCTCACTCTAAATTGTCTTTGTAGTCCACAGGGGAAAAACATCTGGAATGAGATACAGTAGCATGCTGTGTGCAACGTCTGCAAGCTTGGACATCATAATAACAACACTGTCTTGTACATAGCTGTGTTCACCAACCTTACACTAAACTACAGTGGACAAAATCAAACAAGAGGTATGGTAATATAGTAAGTTGCTTTTAAAAGCTTAAAGCTTGTTTGATGAAGGTGAGCATGGCATTTGTGGTTGTTCCCTGAAGGCAACTGATTTAAAACACACTTGAGGCATGAAAGAGAAACCACAACAACAATCTGAAATTCCCATGAAGCATGCAGAGGATGTCTGTCCATGGATGCTGCATTCTTCTGAAAGCAGCCCTCTGCTGAGACAACCCTCCAAAATGCACAGACCAGCAAAACCACAACTCTGCATAACAATGTGTAAAAAAAAAAAAGAGAAGAAACTCAAAGGAGCTTTGACAGGCATGAATCAGGAACCTGTATTTTACAATATTTAACATAACTTCTCATTATGGGACTCTGTAATTTCTTAAGAAAAATGCAGGAAAACAACCAGCCGAAAAACTGAAATTGGTAAAGTGAGAGTCCATTCTCCAAAACGCAGCCACATATTCCCTCCCTTGAATTCTGCTTTGCAGACGGATGCAAGCCATCAAGGCCGTTAGGCCACAAACAACAAAGCACTAAAAGAAAGGAAAGCATAAGGACTGCTGATCTACTGATCTGTGTTGACAGCAGATTTTGAATATGCACACTTAATCATTTTGACAAGGACAATGCATTATTTAGGACAAAATCATAAGTAAGGGTAGTGACTAGTCATATTTCAACCACTGACTGTAAATAAAAGATAGATAAATCCTCCCTGACATCACCCACTGCATTTCTGTAGACCGGTTTTGAAGCTCAAGCCGTGACCATCTTGGTAGTGCTTCACTCCGCCTAACTCCAACTAATCCAGAAACAGGCAAAGAGATGGAGCACGAGTGGTGTCCGTTTGGCAGCTAGCAGATAACCAACTATGGCGGGATCCTCCCGCATGTCACTCAAAGCAGCCATACCCTTAATTATACATAACTTTTAGCCTCAATATAATTTAAATGGGTGAATTTATAAAAGTTCACCCCCTGTACGGTTGTCATGGAAAGGTGAAATAGCTACAGAGCCTAAACCATTTTGCACCAGGCTGTAAACATGATTATTTCTGCTGTAAAGATGGGCATTTTAACATGGGAGTCTAAGGGGAATGTTCTCCCTGTGCCTGTGTGGGTTCTCTCTGGGTACTCCAGCTCCCTCCCACAGTCCAAACACATGCAGCTTAGGTTGATTGGCTACTCTAAATCGCCCATAGGATTGTGTGTGGGTGTTTGTCTACATGTCAGTCCCGTGATAGACTGGCAACCCGTCCAGGGTGGACCCCACTTCTCACCCAATGTCAGCTGGGATAGGCTCCAGCCCCACCGTGACCCTATTCAGGAATAAGTGGTATAGATAATGGATGGATGGAGTCTAAAGGGATTGCCTCCCTTTTGGAGTCAGCCTCAAGTGGCCATCGGAGGAACTGCAGGTTTTACAACTTATGCTCTAGCATCATTTCTCGGTCCTGGAGGTTGTTGCTTGATTTCACCCTTCAGAAGCAATGGAAAAGCTTGTTTATAGATGAAGTGCTACAGCTGTACATGGTACTGTATGGTTGCATACTGGCATCTTTTCTTAGTGTTAGATATTCCATGAAAGTTTTCAGAATATTCAACAGCATATTACAAACTGCATTATGACACATGGAGGCATAGCAGCTTCCAAAAGGGTGAAAAACTGACGTAAAAGAGCAACTCTGACAAAGCTAACAAGCAGTTATGGTGTGGCTCTTTGCTGCTAAAATATATATCCTGCATAATGGTGTCTGATGCTTAAAACTTACAGTTATTTGAAGTTGGTGGTTGATTCGGTACAGCCAGCATAATTAAGGCGCCAAACCATGTACAACACAATTCAGCAAACAAACAACAACCACACAGATCTCCACTCTTGAGATTGCAGCCTGGAACTGACAGGAACAGCCCAGAGACAGCATATGCTGATTTTACCCCCTTGACACCATGTGTTAGCAGCGTGCTATTTATACCAGACTGACCTGCACCATAGAGACAGAGCTCAAAGACAACAGGTTTGCTTTCAAAGGACTTTACTGGGTCACACCAAAGTCACTTCTTCAAATCGAGGGTGTGAATCAGAGACATCATTGCTCGAAAGCGGTGACAGTCTTGTCATCCACCTGACACAAGGGCTTCCCCCTTGAGTTACAGCTAATGCCCATGTGACCAGATCTCACTAACCAGGTGCCACAGAGCCTGCCACTGATACTCCTCCTCTGTCTAAATTGAGGTCCATCTGGTCTTCTGCTAATCCGAGACCAGTTGACTGTGTAAAGTACATCAAGCTCTTTGTGTTTTTAGTCCTGCCCACTTCCATCCTCTCAAACAGTGGAAAGTGTTCCCATCCCATCCTGCTGATCAGGCTGAGTGGGCTATAGAATGAAAGCCAGGCCTGTGGTGATCCACAGCATCCTGAGGGAATCTAGTCAAACAAGATGGAGTACCACTGATTTGAAAGAAAAAAAAAAAAATTAACCTTTTTACATGACTGCTTGACTAGACTAAGATGAATCCTCAAAAAAAAAAAAACAACCTCAGATGCTACGGCCCCATTGCTTTGTTTTAATATAAAAGGTCAGTATGAGGCTTTGTGAAAAAGCGTTTGGACATACATGGTCTAATCAGAAATTAGGAACAAGCATTTCTCAAGAGTTACAACCTTCAGTTGATCCCAAAACATAAAAATTTGAAAATTAGCTTCAGGTTTACATTATTTGTCACCGGATTTTCTTGCCGATACCAGTGATGAAAACGCGGTCATCCTGAGCTGCTTAAAACTGGCTATACAGCTTTGGATGTTAGGAAGACCAACTACTGCAACTCAACTGTCCTGCTTCACCTCCTCAAGTGACAGCACTAGCTAAATGAAGACAGACATGATACGGCTGGCAAAATGCATTCTGCTATTGACTAAATGCCAAAAACACAAGCTGGCAAAATACACAATTTTGGAAAAATGTGCTAAGAATGTTTGGATACACGATTCAGAAATGTTGCTGAAATCAAATAGCTGCAAATTCTAATCCCCAGATTGAGGACAATCCCAGTAGGGAATTGCCCTCGTCCATCCCTCAACAACTGACCAACTGGCCATTTGATCCCACCCTACTCTAATTGGCGCTTTGCAATGACAACTGCAGAAATGGTTTCCTACTTGGACTGGACTTCAGGGCTGCCCATTCATGAAATGCAAACTAGGTCTCTTGTTCACTGAATGTTTTTTTTTTTCCTTCAGTTGCTTCATAATTAAGACAAGAAGAACCCAAATAAAAGTTGAGGGAAGGTTGGAGGTTTAAGTCAGTATACTAACAATCATTGTTTGTTTCTTTGTTTCATTTCTCTTTCACAAAATGTGTCACACTATAACTAACTTTTCCAAGTTTTGAGAGATCTCCCTAATGAGCTGTAGGAGAAGTAGTAGGTTAAACTGAAAGGGGATTAGTGCTGTTTGAAGTAAACACTGGCAGATGCCTGCCTCCCCTCAGGCAGATAATTGGTTTCTACTCCATTCACCTGAGGCCACCAAATATTCCATAATGTCATATTTAACTGTAGGAATTTCATGTTGACACTGTGCATGCAACTGTTTGAATGAATGCTTTATCAGTATCCCACATCAACAATCTGCTTCAAGCCACTGGCTCAATCTATGGTCCATTAAGTTTGTTTGGTAGCAACCCCATCAACATATTCAAGCTAATTATTAATTTAGCATTTTGTACTGTAGGTATTCACTTTTCATAAGGCAAATTCAAAGATACATGAAACGTAATCAAGAGAATATAAAGTATGCTGCATACCTTGTGTGGGGCTTTCAACAGCCTGTGGACTCCAACTATCTGATTTATCAGAGGAATATCTCTCCTGAAAGTGTACAGAGGTGGTCTGGTGGGCTCGGGGAAATTAGTGCTGTTAAATGGATCCGTATCATCTAAGAACTGTACCCTGCATATAAACGTGGCCATGATGTATCCATGCAAGGCTTTTTTAGAAGATCAGAATAATGGATGCGACGCCACAACCTGTGACGGACGCGCAGCCCCCGGCCGGCGGAGCACCGGCAGGTCTTCTGCAGTAGCCAAACCCTGCACCCTCTGTTATCCTTGGACCTTGTCCATTCGCTTCTCGCAGCGCAGAGAACTCGGGACGGCGTGCACAGTAGTCAAACAGTAAAAATCCCGGGGCACCTCCGTGGGAGATAGGTCTAGTCAAAGAGGTGTGGAAATGAGCGGGGCGGCGGAACCCAAGGACATTGCGGGTGGTTGAAGTGCAGAGGAAGACTGCGGACGGGGCTGATCCACTTGGCGCCTGGTCTGTGAGAGCGATGGGAAGCGGCTCCCTCTCCCAGCATAGACTCAGCTAGGGGACACCGCAGCCAGACCTCAGCCGGCCGACACAGCTCGTATTACAGTTGCAATGGCGGCCTCCAGTGGCGAAAACGAACAGTGCGCAAAGGCTCTACACTGGAGCAGGCAGACTGGTGCCAAAACGCACCATGCAAAATGCAACCAAACTCCAACCATGACATACAGGTACAGTAGATGGAACTACAGTAGCTGTCAGATCAATAGCAGAAAAATGTTACTGCAACATTTACAAGTAGTTTGTAAATGTTTAATAGATGTTTATAAAGCACTATAACATACCATAGTTAAAACGAGATTAGGACATCATTGGGTTTATTTATGTTTGTTGACAACTATAACAAACTATGATTCCTACAAGGCGTCTATAAACATCTTAAATATTAATTATACTTGTTAACTAAGTGCATATTTATAAAAACTTCCTCACATGACAATCAAACTCTGCTGATGAAGGCCATAAGTGAGTTAAGCTGTCAAACTATTATTTCAAGAATAAACCTCAAACATGTCTGTGAATGATTTGTACATGTGAATAAATAGTTGATAAATGTTTCATAAAACACTGAAAGGGTTTGTTAATGTATCATCACACTGTTTTCGATCATTAACTCTTTATACACGAGTTAAATTGTTGTCAAATGTGTAATATAGCAGAAAAGGATATGCTAAAGTTTGAATAAATAAACTGTCACATGGGGGGTTATTGTATCTGGGGTTTTGTGTAATTATGCTAAAATTATATTAAAATGTTTTAGGTTCTTAAAATTACTGAAGTTTTATAGTAGGTGCTACTGTCAGTGAGGACAAAGGTGTTAGTGATTTGCCTATTAAAATATTTCCTACAGTAAACCAGAAAATATTAGCTTCTGTGCATTGACCCTTTCCCATTAGACACTATAGTTTCTACCATGTATTCTTATGTAGCTCAGCCTTCAAAGCCTTCACACCACCAGATGATGCTCCCACATCACGGCCACAGCCTAGTCAATCTATTACATCTCATATCATGAACCACAGTTAACACTCCACCACTATACAGTGTTTGAAAGATCATGAAGCTCCAGCTCCCTAATTCAGGCCTGGAGGGCAGGATACTGTCCCATCAGCAACTGGAAAAGCTGGAGGAGGAAGAGGCCCGGAGACAGAATGAAATGGGACAACATGATCTGGTACATGCTGACCTGTGTGGGACGTGGAAAAGTCTGGCACTTCCTCTGTCTGTGTCACAGTCATTTAGGAGGCAAGCGATGCTTTCATGGTTACTGCAGTCAGTCCATATTTGTCTGTGTTGCCATATGTTCAATAATACTGAAAGAAGAAACATAAATCATACCCCATTAAATCCGATATCCAACCCAGGCCTACTAGAGGAATTCAGGAACATTAATTATTCTTTGCTATTATCAATTCCTTAATTATTTGAAAAAAAGTTATGTATTTTTTTAATGCCATGGCTGGAAGCATTATGTTTTTGGGTTGTTAGTCCATACATACATCTGTCTGATTCTTGTGAACGTGATGTCACCTTGAGGGAACGTCTTTAAATTTGGCACAAGTGTCAACTTGGAGTCAAAGATGAACTGATTAGATTTTAGTGGTCAAAGGTCAAGTTTAGTGACCTCTCTTATGTCCTGCACCTGTGAATTTGACTGCTTGGCTGAGGTATACAGCCACGAAGTGATAGTTCTAGTTTTAGTTTTCAGTAAAATACAACCACATTTTCAGTTTGGGCCCCCTGTCTATAGATCTTTTATGAAACATCTAGCTAGTTTACTTTTCTGAACAGCCCTTAACCTTAGCTTCTCACAAGAGCTACCACAATCATTTGATCAGTAACTGCTAAACTAATTATTTCAGCTAACAGAGCTGGCAAAGCCACCTACATCACTGTGACAACCTTTTTATTCAAATGAATTTTGGGTTTTAGAAACATCATAGCATTACTGAATGCATTTGATCTTCCAGAGGGAGCCAGCAGCAACAACAACCAGGTTGCTTAATGAAACCGGCTCCAAGGTGATTTAAAAGCTGTAGCTTATACTTTTCTCAGTGATATAAGAGTTCAGCTTGCATCAGTAAGATTATTCAGGAGAGCAGCTTCATTTTTAGTGAAAACTGAACATTTATTTTCAATGCATATAAACACTGCTGTATTTTGGTCTAGGGAGTTGAAGGAACTGGTTTAGCAGTTATTGTGTTCACTGAGGCCAACACCAAGATGCTTGTCTCACTGCTGTGGGCAGTCCTCTTCTTCATAATGCTCTCCTGTCTTGGCCCGGCTTCAGTGTTTGGTAACACTGAGGGAGTTCTTCTACCTCTGCAACATCTCAAACTTTTGCCTATATGGCCAAAAGAGGCTGCCACTGGTAACTCCACATCAATTCTCTCATTTCTCACAAATACAGATTTCTAGTACATTTCAATTCTCTGCTCTCCTTCAGGTGTGATGTTCATGCTCTGCTGTCTGGTGAGTCTGACATTTGTCCAAGGCTGAGGAAACTACTGCCCCTCGCTCTTTGATATCTGATGGTGGATCCATCCCTCTGTTAGTTGGTGCACACTGTGAGACTGTCTCAGTGGTATACACAACAGACAGGTAATATTTAAACAATATTTATAATTTTTTTTGTTAGAACTTTATCTTTTATAAATTTAATTATGTTGTTAGTTGATGCTGTTTTGTTATGCTGTGTGATGAAGCCAGACAGTTTTCCAGCTTGTGGACAATCACATCCCCTTAAATACTCTACTTGCATTTTCGTAAACCTGGAGATTATAAATAACTACTCGGACACTGCAAATCATAGTGCTGAATTTGTCGTCCCCCCCAAAAAAAGAGAGCAAAAACATCCCACACTGCTATTGCAGCATCTTTATAAACAGAAGCTAGTTAACTGTTGTTTCTTCTCTTATTTCATCTACTCACTCATGACAGTGCTGTACTGTGTGTGTGTTTGTCCTTCTGGGTTCAGTGATGATATAAAGTTCATGACATCACACAAGCCAAACTCCTCCTGGCAGGCATCGTGGACAGACATCAGCCCACTGATTGTTTTCCAATCCTGGTCTTTTAGTTCTTCACTAAATGGTCTGAAACACTCATTTACAAAGCATTGGATCCTGAATTGATATGGCTTTATTTTGATATGCTCTCTCTATGGCTACTAATCTGTTACAACATACTATCATGTTCCATCAAACACTCAAAATATAGCA